CACTGGGTTCAATGTAAAATTAATTTTGTTTCTTGGTATTTCCCACATTCTTTTTGGACTTTGAGATATCTATCTGGTGGGTAACATGTGTATACCCTTAAGTATTTTGACAAAATATCATGATTACCCTCATTTGCCTTAGAAGTGCCTATAAAATCTAATGCACCAGTTTTCCTATGGGGAAAAGGCCATCTTGGATTTCCCCAAAATGATAAAATATGGACATTAATTACCTAACAGATATGTATCATGGGATAATAATACTGAAAAAACAGAATAACAACTGAATTCAGCTTCATTTTATATGTAAGCCTATCTCCCACAGGTATTAACTGAACCCCACCTTCTATGGCTAATGGCAGCCATTTTGTTTTGTTTTCTTTTCAAAAAGGATACACATAACATTCTCATCATATATATATTACATGAATTAAAAAGATGTGGAAAATACTCAGAAACAAACCTAATTTATCAATTAATATTATATCTCCATGGCAGAAGAAGCCCTATGTGTATACTAGTATTCCTTTGATATGGCGGCCATCTTGGATTTTCCTCGAAATGCCTGAGAATAAAGGTTAATTACTCACCACAAATATATTATTTGTGTAATAAGAAACAATTAGATAGTGGGCAATGCATCTTCCTAGTTGGCATTAGTTAGTTGAAAACCTGTGTACAAGATGTAGTATTCCTATGCCATATGGCGGCCATCTTGGATTTTTTCAAAAAGTCCAAGGACACTACTTTGTTACCTGACACACATGCATAATAAGGATGTGGAAAACATTGAGAAAATACTTAATTTGATAAAAATCAACATAGGTATGTATATATTTCTACAGAATTTCACAAATTGGCGGCCATTTTGGATTTTTGGCCAAACGGTAAATTTTTTCCGTGGGCTACGGCTCTAATTTGATTTAGTATGTCAAAAGGTACCCACATGCAAAATTTGGTGCTTATATCCGCCATGTCACGATTTGGCCATTTTTTTGCCCTAAGCAACTAATGTTCATTTAATATGATATATTGTACTAGAATGTAATATATAATAAAGTAATAGAATGTTATATGATAATTGTAGTGTTGATTATTCATATGATTTAACTTGGCATGTCTTTGAGATGTAAACCACCCAAATTTTGGCTCAATGCTAAGACACTATGCTTGCCACAACTTAGAAAAGCAATATTTGGCCTACTGCCTAGTACAGGAAATAACTGTCGCAGTGGTTTTATAATGTGATCTCCAAGTGATCTGTCCCTTTTTTAAGATTTCTCTCTTGGAAATGGAACTGTTCAAAACCTTCCAAAATTCTTGAAACTATTATACATGGCAAAAAAGTATCAATATTGCATAATAGTTTACAGTAGGTCTTACAATTTTTGGGTTACTCTCCACTGGGTCATAAGAGACTCAAAAAGTTGCTCTGCTTGTGGTATCGTCTGGCCACATAACTTTGAGGAAGTTTCTAACTTAAAAGCATTATAGATCCAGCTCCAGAGCTGACAATGAAGAAAGGCGAGAATGGCTGAAACTTAATGAAAGTTACCAAATTTTAAGTTGATCGCCATGGTAACAAAGCATAAGTCTATATTTTGAAACACCACAAGAAAGATCCGGAAATTTACCAGATATTTTTTGCAGACATAAATAACCCATTTGTATTGATGCTACACACATTTTCATTTACCAAAAATACATCAGAACAACTATTGTAGTCAAGTTAAGAAAAATACTTGGATACAAACTGATCATTGAAAAATTGTTTAAGTGGTGACGTTGGTTCATGTGGGTCTAATAATACATAGATTTGATAAATATTACTGGTCCCACTTCACTACTGCTTGGTATTGAACCACGAAAAGTTTTGCTTTGCCTGTTGTTTGTTAAAGATAAAAATTTTACTGGATCAGGTAAAATAAATTGATTTGATTACTTTAAATTTTTGCAAATTAATAACCAATCCAAAATAAAAGAATGACATGAGAACAATAAAATAGCTAAAGCCTGTCTTTTAAACAAAAAAACAATTATCTTTAATCCATGTCTATTGAAGCCTACAGCAGTTTTTTTTTTTAATTGTCAAAGCATGGATGCATAGTTGTCTAATATGTTATCTGCATGCATTTAACTGAATTTGGTAAATTATTTGATTCATCAGCATCTTCTGGGTCTTCAGAATTGCTCTCCCATACATCACTCAGGAGATTGTAGGAATACACTTTGGTCTCAGAACCAACCACAATATTCCAGATTTTTCCATGGAATGTACACAAAGCTGAGTTAGTTACGTTAGTAGGTGGGTTGAGTTTGATCCACACCCCATCTAGGGGCTTGAACTGATAGAATACTCGGTTTTCTTCATAGACTTCCTCATCATCATCCTGTTCCTCTTCATGTTCTTCAGAATTAGGCAGGGGCTTGATCTCTACCTCCAAGCCAATGATAAAGATGGACTCTTCCATCACTGTAGCAGTGCACTTGGAAATGGCTGCAGGTATTTCTGGGCCCAGCACACATTCTCCTGTTTGCGAGGAGTATATCTGAACCTTGTTAGTGGCATCATTCAGAGAGCCAGATATGTCAGTTGTCCCTCCAAAGGTGTAGACTTTATCTTGAAAAGAGACAGAGGCATGCTGCCAAACCCCAGTGAGCAGATTACCTGCTGGTCTCCACTTGTTCTGCTGGATGTTGTAGACTTCAATCTTGGAAACTATGCCGTTATTTTGCTGGGAAGACCTAGAATATACCTGTCTTTCTAAACCCCCTATAATATGTAAACAGCCACCTATTATTACCATAGTATGGTTTTGCCTTCCAGTCAGCATTGTTGCAAGCTCTTTTTCACATTGGAGCCCAAGCTCAGCCTTGTACATGATCAATCTCTCTGGGTTATCCTTTCCCCCAGACACGAAAACCTCAGAGTTCACAGCACTGCTGCAAATAGCTGCGTCTCTAAAGCCCTGGTGTTTAGTTTGTCCAGATGTCCAATTTAGATTGCCCAGCTGGGAAGTCTGTCTAGAAAAAGAGGCGCCATCATTTGTTGTGCTGAGAAGTAGGACATACTCTCGTCTTTTCAAGGAATGCCTTGGTGATGCTTGGGGATATGGTAACTCAAAGTACATGGTAGGGTCTGACTGGAAAAGCTGGGCTTGGCGGAGAAGCTTCATGATGTCTCCATTATTTCTCATGATTTCATTGTCCATAAGTGTCATCAAATATCGGGAACTTAGCAAAGAGAACCGAACATGAGAGAGGACCTCAACAGCATCAGTCTTTCTCTCTGGCTCTGCCGCTATCCACTGAAGAGCAATTTGAGCCACGCTGTCTTCAGATTGAATATTCAAACTATCACTTGATATAAATTGAATAAGATTTACTTTTGACAGGGATGCCACCAAAGGAGATGCAACTTGCAAAAAATTTTCTAAGGAAAAGTGCATGCTTCTCTGCATGAGCTCTCTGCAATCAATGGCATCAGCAAACTGCCAAATATGAAAACAATTTTGAACTGTTAAATTTTCTGCTATGTACTTGGCACATATTTTGATTAAAGCCAAAATTTGAAGCATGTTTGCTGCATTCATAACAGCTTGTGCATTTTCAATGGAAACCTTGCACTTTCCTGAATAGATGAAGTCTAATATGGTTTCAAACACCAGGGGCTCCATATCTTTCATTTCTATTTCGGCAGATTTACTCTCTGCCATAGGGTTTGTAAACATTGCTTCAAAATAATTTGAAATGGAAGCTAGAACAACTTTGTGGCATGGAAATTTTTGCCCTGCAACGTCTATGGTTACATCGCAGAAAACGGCCTTTTTCTTAAGACGATGAATGCCATTTGTCAGTTGATAGGCGAAGCTTGGGTCTATTATTTCTTTGTACTGTAATATGGAAGTGTCCATTTTGAATACCTGCAACAGTGACATAGGAATCACTTTTAGCATGTGCATGTCAGATACACTTCTGATCCAAGAGAAAGTGAGTGAGAGAGAGAGAGAATGAAACAAAGAAAATTTAATCCTATATACAGATATGTCTGTACATATAGTCATCAGGCATCTGTCGTCACGATGCACCTCCAGTTCTATGATGACAAGTTATACAATTGTTTGATCTTTTGTCTTCAAACTCACAGAACTGATGGATATTTATAAGATATAATATTTCTAAAAATTTTTCCAAAAGCTCTGCTGTTGTTTTTTTTCAGCATATTTTGTCCACCTCTATACAAACAAGGCAGCAAAGATGTCAAATGTACAGACATAAAGCAGGGAAAAAAATTATGCACAAAATTTTTTTTTATTGTCAAATTTAAAGCAAATTTATATTATGTTGAACAGCATTATCACCACTACATTTTAACTTGTTATAACAAACACATTTGTTAAAACAAGCACATTCAGAGTACCTTTGCTGCCTTATTTATTGTAATTTACTTATTAATTTCATTTTACATCTATTTTATTGTTTTTTCCACTAAAATCAATATTTTGCTACCACTTCCACTTTCACTTTGCTAGTCTCGTGACAAAATCTTGATAATCTTTTGCAGTTATACTGGTCCACAGCCTAAAGCATACGAGAAGAAATGTAGACAAAAAAATGAAGGCACTTACTTCTATGGAGGACAAACATATACCACTGCCAGGTAAGAATATTGGGATCTACGTGCTGGATTTTCTCTTGATGACTTTTTGTATGTTCCTAGACTTCTTGTGGGGTGGATCTGCTGTATTAATCTAGTTGTGGTGTGGTCTAATTAGCATAAATCCTTCCACCAAGTATTAAGGGACTATTTTGAGGTTAAGTCCACTGTGTACTGATACTATGATATGAACTGGTTAGGTCAGACAAGGCATAAGTTTGTTAGGCTGCTATCAGACTGTCCTAAATTGACACCATGCAGTGAACTACCGTACATATAGGTCAACAGCCAGTCAACAGCTGATTCAAGTTCAATGTCTATATATCTATAGAATGTCACATGAAGGCAACTGAACAGCACATGACGGTTAATAGAAATCTAAATTTTCATAGTAGTTTACACCAGCAGGAAAAAAGTGAAGGCCTCACGAAGTTACTAACAACTTTGTAGAGTTGTTCAGGACTGACGTATGGAAGATGTTTGAAGGCTGGCCTTTTGTATATGTATGTCCACTTTAGCATGACATGTGGGAAATACTAATAAACTACTCAGATTAGGCAATTGTTTGACCTTTTGTCTTCAAACTTACTACAAAAATTTGAGCTTTTGCCACCACTCATGATATTGCCACCACTCATGATAAAGCTTAAAAGTTGAATTTAACTTTTTAAGTGGGGAGGGGGGAGTATAATAGGTCTACAGTGTGGGCCTTTCTTGAACACTAAAGCAACAGAATTAAAGCTTTTTCCTGGGCTTAGATTTTTATTTTCTTCAGTTTTGATATAGATCTATCCATTTGTAAAACAATAGGCCCGAAAAAATAAGTCTGATTTTTATGTACAGACACAGATGTGTCTGTACATATAGCCATCATCTGCGTCTGCCGTCGCCGTGCACTTTTACCGATAACACGATAAGTGGAAAACCATTTTACCTTTTGACTTGAAACTTGCAGAACTGATGAATATTCATAATACGCAGGTCAAGTTCGAAAATCAGCATGATCAGGTCACTTTTAGGGAATTTATGCTGTTTTTCACTTTTTTCAGCATATATGCAGCACCGATAACACGATAAGTGGAAAACCATTTTACCTTTTGACTTGAAACTTACAGAACTGATGAATATTCATAATACGCAGGTCAAGTTCGAAAATCAGCATGNTATCCATCCTCCATTTTTGACCGTCTTCCAACAGAAAAAATCAGATACCCGTCAATGTAAACTTGAAAATCTGACCGTCTTCCGGAAGACCCAGAAGACGGCCTAAATCCGCCCCTGGTATCAATGTAAAATTATATTTTTTCATTGAATTATAACTGGATTTTATATTTTCTTAAACAGTTGATTCACTTATTGATTGATAGTTTGATTGTTTAGATTTTTAATTTTTAAAATTTATCATTATCATTATTTATTTATATTTAGTCATGATCTGATTTCCACGCCTTCTGCTGGTGCTTTGAATTTTGTGAAACATTTGGAGAAAAAGGATGGAATTGAAGCAAGGGCCAAAGGTTTGTGCCTTCATAATTTCTATTTTAGCTGATCAACAAGCTTCCTGTTCCTGAAAATTGATGAACCCCTCTGAACCAGCTGGGTAGCTATATTATTGAATTTTAATGAATGACTTTTATTCCTGAACAGCACATCATGATTTTAAAAATTACAAAGGATTTCTTGTTTAGCTGAAATTAACAACCATTTTAGTAACAAGATTTGCCATTGAGGTAAAACAGAGGTCATTCTTTTCTCCTTTTCTCCAGCTGAAAAACAAAACAAACCCATCATTTCCATCACTCCAAAGCAACTGTTACAACAAACCCAGAGAGAGCACGCAGAAAGGATGAAGAGACAGAAAACCCTCTCTGGTACCACTGGTGTACCTCAACAGCATGTGAACCCCCTTGACTGCGTTCCTCAACTAGGGAAAGGATTGGGGGGCGACAAGGGGGAAATTTTTCTTGAGGATTCCCCCTTGCAGAGACCCCTTTCTGCAAGGAGAAATGATAGTGTGGCAGCTGCAAAGGTAAATGTCTTATGTGATGATTATTTGGCATATTGAAGACGTATTATCATAAAAATTACAATACAAAACTTATCACTCTTAGTTGGCATAGATATGCAAATTTTCAGCTCAAATTTTAATTATAAAGAATCGAGTATGAATTAAAGATGCATACAAAGTCAATTTTTTGTCACAAAAACCAACCAAATGCCAGCATATGGTTTCAAGTAGTATAACTAAGAGAATTACCAAAAGGCATTGTTTAATTTTACCCGAAAATGATGTTTGAACGGATTTTTCTGCTGGCATTCTAAGCTGTATGTCAATGGGGCAGAAAAGTAGGTCACGAAAGTAGGTTAAATTTACAACCATAAATTTAAGGAAAGGAGCAGTCAAAAGGTCTTTTATGGGTGATCGAGTGATCTATGCAGTTTATCCCTTGACATGTCGAATTTATTTGAGTCATATAAGAATCTAGTAGAAGTGGTTTACATGTGTTACTGGGAATCCACGCTTCACCGATGCTCGGTTCGTATGTACCTTTAATGTATGTGATTTTTACCTCCACCAATATGTTATATTTTTGCATCTGTTTGTTTGTTCATTTGTGACAAGCTTATGATATTTTTAAGATGATTTACAAGTGGACTAACTTAAAAGTGATTTTTTGTTGATGATCCATTAATTGATTAATGGTTAGTTCTTACTAGTTAATTATTTGACTAGAATAAGAATTGAATTGTCTTGGTAAAGGTCTGCTCTCTCTGAGTGATTTTTACATATTTGCAAGCAGGAAATTACCAAAAGCGTACCTAGAGCTGTGAATTATTCAGTAATTTTTCAACTATAGAAAAAAGCTGTAGCCAAGGTGCAGGCAAAGGGTGGACTGGAGAGACAAGATCCTAATGCCATTAAGAAGAAAAAATCTCCGGAAACTTTGGAAGCTAAAAGAAAAAGGTTTGCCATGGAAGAAGCAACTAAAGGTATATTAATTTTCTTATTCATTTCAAACTGAATATGATATAAGATAATTTGTTCAAAAGTATTTATTACAAGATATGACCATACAACGACACCATGGTTTGCAGTGTACTGAAGTAAAAACGTGAGTATTTTGATATTAAGAGTAAGTAATTCTCTTCTCTCAGTTAAAGCCTTTAACAATGGAAACTGAAGTGATCAAAATATTTTTCTTGTTTTCTATGCAAATGTTCCTGACACCTTTGTTGTCTCATTCCAAAGATACAGATATTCACCAAAACTATTGCAGTGATATGTAAATTTGTACTCTGTCTCTTTTCCATTACAGAAACTGGTTCTGGACAAAACGGGAATTCTACAGAACCACCTAAAAAAAGGTCAAGGTTATTAGGTGACCTTGATCCTAATTCTGAGGAATTTAAACGATTATTGAATGCGAAATCTTCACACTCTGGCGCTGTGTCTGAGGTAACATAAAATGTACTTTCACATGTTTTTGTTTGATATTTTTCTTGTCTTGCAATTTTATTCAGCATGTTTTATTATTTATTTATTTTTGAAATAGGATAGTGTTTTTGTTTTTCTCCAGTTATGGTGCAGTGTATTATACTTTTATTTTATGAAATTAGGTATTTTTACCAAAACTTGCAATTTCCTGCTTGTCTGATAATTTTAGATTGAGATGGAGCAACAGGAAAAATATTTTGGTGAGCTTGAAAAACGTGAAAAGTATGAAGATAAAATGAGCAACACATTGGAGGTGAAGTGTTCAGTGGTAGTGTGTAAACAGGTGAGCAGCTGGACTGTGAAATAGAGTTTGTGTGTGCATTTTTTACCTTAAATTTTACCTTGAAAATGCTATAAGATAACAAGGCCCTAATTTAGGACAGTTTATAAAGATTTATGCCAATATGTTTATTGTAATTTTTTTTCATATATTTTTTTTGTAGCACTTAATGAAACAGTCATAACAGTAACTTGTAATTACTATGCAGGTTGTCACATAGATATACATATGATTGTATATCATAACTACAGTTTTTTAAAACCACGTACCTTAGATTTAGAATGAATCTTTTTTTGAAATAAATTTTTGTATTGGCAGTGTAAGTACATGGCACAGAGTGCGGCCGACAGATGCAAGGAAGAAGGGCACACATTAGTCCGAAAAGAAGCCATGAAAAAATTCTTCAAATGTGTACCTTGTGGTAAAAGAACCATAGCATTTGGAATGCTTCCTACCAAAAACTGCAGGTAAAAATGGAATTTACAGGTCATAAGAGATGAAATAGCTATACTAAAGAATGGATAGAAAACTCTAGTTACACTGGACTTGATGTAGATGGTTTTTGGACAAGCCAACACTCATTTTCATGAATTCCATATAACCTAGTCCAATTTTTAAAATTTAATATTTGCTTATGATTTCTGACTAATGAACAGAATAATTGAGGAAATAGTGCAGTAATAAAGATAATTTGTACTCTGATGGGGGAGGGGGTATACTCCTTGTAATCCTGTGAAAATGATAAAAATAAAATAATTTTAAAAAGAAAGAAGTACAAAATGCCACAATATTTATTCCAGTGGTTGTGGTGAATTCAAGTATGAGAAAACGTCTATGTGGAAGGTAAATAACTCTGAATTTTGCTTTTCTGATAATCCATATGATTTTTCTGCACTTATATCATCTGTCTAAATGATATTAACAAAAATAACACTTTCATATTTTTGAATGGAAATAGTTTAACTCTTCAAGAAAAAATTAAAATTAGAGTTTTCCAGTATTTAGTTGTCTGTCAAGTCAATTGGGAGAAAAATTTTGTATTGATATGAAGTACTGAATACAATGTAATTATATTGAGCCTCCAAACACATTCTTATTTATGTATATGCTATTTTAGGAGAAGAAAGGACCACTACTAGACAGTGAAAAACTTTTACTACGAGGAGTGGAAGAGAAATTCCTGAGATAAAATCTCCTGATTTAAAACAGCAAATAAAATGACTGATGATGATATTTATTAACTGACAGCTAGTAATTAAAAGAAACAGTCTGTGATACTTTATCACACTAAATCATTGTTATGTAATGAATGAAGACTTGATATGGAAACTGTTCAAACTATGTCACCTTGAGTTTGAGACCTATATTGATGACTTCTCTCCGGTCAAGGACAGTATTATGCCCAGTATATGTGTGCATACTTGAAATGATTTTACTGTATACTGAGATACAGCATGGTCTTAGTAAGCTGTGTTTTCTTTATTGCTATCAATGGTATCAGTGAGTGTCCAATTAAAGAAACATTTGTATGCATTTCGCACTCACATTAGTTTTTATTATTTTATTAAAACTATATAGAAATGGAATGGCAATTTGTCTGTATCAGTAATGTTTTATTTGATACACCAAAAATATTTACCTACAAATATGTTGTAATAAAGACAGAAATCAATTACTTTCTGGTATTGGTCATAATGCTATATTAAGAGTGAACTCTGTTAAATTATTGAATGCTCTATTAAAGACAAGATGATACCTAGTAAAGAGAGGACCGAAGAAATAAATTTTCCTCCTCGAGTTTTGGGTAGGTTTTCAAGCACTTGCAGGGCTGCCTCTTAATAATGCCTGCCTCTTAAAAGGTAAGGGTGCCAAAATATATTCGGGGAAAAGTAAGAAAATCTTCTTAAAAAGTATTTTAAGAAATACTACTAAACCCACTGAGACAAATTAGAGGCTTATTTAGCAAAGGTCTACAAGTACACACTGTCCAGACCTTTTCACCATAGAATCAAGTTTAAGAGAGGTTTTTCAAGTCCCTTGTATTCTTATGTAAAAAATATGAAACAATGGCAATTACAAAGGTATACTCATCTACAACTTAATACCACTTCAATGAAAGAATAATAGAATGAAATTAGCTGTATAGTACTGGTCAATTATCAATAAAATCTGTCCGGAAGATAAACCTTTCCCTTGATTCATAGACGTACCAATTGATATTGATAGAAAAAGACATTCTTTTAAGTACAGGATGTTTGTGGTTTTATGATTTCAGGAGTCGAGGAGGATTCTGTATATTATACCATGTTCAATATGGATACAAAAGACTGCTCACAAAGAGATGAACTCTGGACAAGGTGAGGAGAGAGATATTTCAGAACATCAGTGAGGTTTTTGCCATATCAAACATCAGGAGAGAAATTCCTTATAAGTCCTGAGCAATTTTCAGACAGGTAAATTAGTTTGAACATTTATTTTAAAACAAGCTGTGCATATACTTTACATGACTGAATGCTCACATAATCCTTTTTCACAAAATCTGCCTTGGTAACCAGTATCATTTTGGTTTTGCTAAATTGCAAGTTAATTTTTTGAGGCATCATGTCAGATATTTATAACATTAGATATTACTAGTAGATAATCAGCTGTTTTGATTATAATAATAGCCATTTTTAGACAAATTAAATTTGTTGACATAATCAGCTGATAAAAAACTATACAGGTCATTAGAATCCCATTTTTTCTTCACATCAGTTGAAGTAAATAAAGGCAAGTATATGCTTACAATTCTATAAAAACCTTAACAGGTCATTAGAATCCCATTTCTTCTTCACTTCAGTTAAAGTAAATAAAACCCAAGTTCACAATTACATTTCTATGAAAACACTTCATCAGTACTTGTGTGTGCTTTATAATTATGTAATATATAATGAGATAATACAGCAATATATATAAAACTTTTTTTTCAAATTCAGTGAATCCACTGGATATATTTAGGTCTAAACTGGAAAGGACTATCCCATTTAGTCATTTTTATTCGAAATATCTCAGAACCCCTTACTGTAATCAAAGCGTTTCTGAACTGCAATATCTTTTTTGTTGATTTTGTTTTCAAAAAATTATTTCTCATTAAGCACATAAAATAAAAGCCATTGTGTCATGTGCTACGTACGCCATGCCAAACAGTACAGAAAGAAAAAAGACACAAAAACAATATGATAAATATAGTTCTGATTATTTTCAATATAAAAACCAAGCATCTATAATACTAGTATGTGCCATATCTTTGAGTCATGGCATGCATATCTTTCTAATAAGTTGTCTGCATGCACTTAAATGAATCATATTCTGATTCATAATAATCTTCTGATTTATCAGAATTTCTCTCCTGCACCTCGAGGTCATTTATACCACATAACATATATGGATATAAAAAGACACCTTTTTAAAACAGAATAATTGTTACCAGCAGTATGTTTTCTGGTTTCAGGAGTCAAGGAGAATTCTGTGAATACCATGTGCAAAATGGCTACAAAAAAAAACCCTGCTCACAAAGAGTTGAACTCCAGGCAAGGTGAGGAGAGAGATGTTTCATAACTTCATTGAAGATCTTTAGCCCTTTTCACAGCATGCGGTATACATATCTGCACACCAACAATTTCAGATGTTAACAATGTAATAGACTGACTTTTACATATGAAAGTCATTTAAATAGAACCCACACATGTAACATGCCCCCCTCCCCCAAGTAGTATAATTATATGTTCGGACCAGTCAAAACATCGTGATACAGATAAGTGTACATCATAATGTGAAAAGGGACTTAACCTCAAAACATCAGGATATAAATCCTTTATAAGCCCTGAGCAATTTTCACACAGGTGAATTATTTAAAACATTAGCAAGTTGAACTGTCATTTTTTTTTTTTACATAAAATCACATTTTTTTATGAAATCTGCCTAGGCTACCAGTCTTCTTTTAAGTTTAACCAAATAGCAAGTTAAATTTTTTGGATCAGCATGATGGCAGGTAGTGTAACATGAAAAGTTTAGGTGTTTACTAATAGCTGTTTTATCAAAATTAAATTTGTTCATTAGCAGGTAACAAACAATGTCAATAGAATTCCAGTTTTTCTTCACATCAATTTAAGTGAATTATATACAGGGATAGAATGTTATAATGTATAATATAGTAATATAATGTTATATGATACATTGTAGTATTGTCTGATATAACTAAGTATGTCTTCAAGATATAAACCACCCATATTCTTGCTAAAACACTGGGCTTCCCACCACTTGGGGAACCACCTTTGGTGACCTACTCTAATCTTCAGTCACAGAAAATTGCCTCAGGTTTGAAGGTGACGTTCAAGTGTTCTGGATAAACTCTTAATTAAGATCTCTACCTTGGTCTCCAAAGCTGTACATTGGTCACCTGGTTTGCTAGTGCATGCGCAGATTTTATAAGTATCGCTGGCCCCACTTCACTATTACTTGATATTGGGTTTGGGGCCAACAAGTTTTGCTTTGACTGTTGATTGTTCATAAACCTCTCAAGGGGCACGTACAACAGAAGTAGTTGTCAATTTAAAATAAAATCAGTGTCGTTTTTTCAAATTAATAACCAATCCAGAATAAAACAATTACATAAGAAAAATAAACATTTTTATAGCCTTTTTAAGTACAGTTATCTATACTATATGGTCATACATTTAAGTCCCTTTGTGTCATAGCATGTCTGGCTAGTAAGTTATCTGCATGCACTTTACTGAATTATTCACATCTTCTGATTTATCTGGATCTTCTGAGTCATCAGAATTACCCTCCCACACATCATTCTGATGGTTGTAGAGGTACACTTTGGTCTCAGAACCAACCACAATATTCCAGATTTTTCCATGAAATGTACAAAGAGCTGAATTTATGTTGGTGGGTGGGTTGAGTTTGATCCACACCCCATCTAGGGGCTTGAACTGATAGAATACTGGTTTTTCTTCATGATCAGAGCCAGGGTCCGGCTCTTCATCTTCTTCAGAATTAGACAGGGGCTTGATCTCTATCTCCAAGCCAATGATAAAGATGGACTCTTCCATAACTGTAGCAGTGCACTTGGAAATGGCTGCAGGTATTTCTGGGCCCAGCACACATTCTCCTGTTTGCGAGGAGTATATCTGAACCTTGTTAGTGGCATCTTTCAGAGAGCCAGATATGTCAGTTGTCCCTCCAAAGGTGTAGACTTTATCTTGAAAAGAGACAGAGGCATGTTGCCAAACTCCAGTAAGCAGATTACCTGCTGGTCTCCACTTGTTCTGCTGGATGTTGTAGACTTCAATCTTGGAAACTGCAGTAATTTTATGTAGCAGGTTTGTGACAGGAATGCTAGGAGTAAATGCAGGTGCTGTAGGTTGATCTGGGACAGAGGCACCAAAAATATTTCTTCTTGCAGGTTGATCTGGGACACAAGTACCAAAGAAAATTCTTCCTGCAGGTTGATTTGAGACAGGACAAGGCTGAAATTGTTTGGCTGGAGTGGCAGGACCAATCTGAACATTTTTGGTTGTAGAAACAATCTCCAAACCCCCTATAATATGTAAACAGCCACCTATTATTACCATAGTATGGTTTTGCCTTCTAGTCAGCATTGTTGCAAGCTCTCTTTCACATTGGAGCCCAAGCTCAGCGTTGTACATGATCAGTTTCTTTGGGTTATCCTTTCCCCCAGACACAAAAACCTCAGAGTTGACAGTGCTGCTGCAAATGGCTGCACCACCAAATCCCTTAATTTCTCTTTTTTGCAATACCCATTTTGGGCTGATAAAACTCAAGGTCTGTCTAGAGGAAGAGGTGCTATCATTTGTTGTGGTGAGAAGAAGGACATACTCTCGTCTTTTCAAGGAATACCGTGGTGATGCTTGGGGATATGGTAACTCAAAGTACATGGTAGGGTCTGACTGAAAAAGTTGGGCTTGATGGATAAGCTTCAGAATGGGTTCATTATTTCTTACGATCTCATGCTGCAAAAATACCATCATATATCTTGAGCTTAACATGGAAAACCGAACATGGAAGAGAACTTCAGCAGCATCAGTCTTTCTCTCTGGTTCTGCCTCTATCCATCGAAGAGCAATTTGAGCCGAATGAATGAGCAAACTATCATTTGATATGTATTGAATGAAGAAATCTTTTGACAGGGATACCACCAAAGGAGATGGCACTTGCAAAAAATTTTCTAAGGAAAAATGCATGGTTTTCTGGATTAGCTCTCTGCAATCAATGGCATCTGCAAACTGCCAAAGGGGCAAACAGTTTTGGGGAGTTAGATTTTCTGCTATGTACTTGCCACATATTTTGATCAAAGCAAAAATTTGAAGCATGTTTGCAGTATCCATTACAGCTTGTGCATTCTCTGTGGAAATCTTGCACTTTCCAGTATAGGTGAAGTCTAATATTGTTTTAAATACAAGAGGTTCTATACCTTTCATGGCAATTTCAGCAGATTTTTCCTCTTTCATAGAGCTTGTAAACATCACTTCAAAATAACTTGAAATGGAAGCTAGAACAACTTTGTGGCATTGGAATTTCTGCCCTGCAACATCTATGGTTATGTCTGATAAAGTGTTGGCTTTCTTCAGCCGATGTATGCCATTTATCATTTGATAGGCAAAGCTTGGGTCCTGTACCTCTTTTTCCTTAAATTCGTAAGTATCCATTCTGGAATTCTACAAAGAAGAAATCATGACAAATGAATGTTTGTTAAATATAAATTTGATAACAATACATTTTACAAAACAAAGGAGCAAAGCTTATTTGAATAATAGTGGAAAAAATATGCTAAAAATCAAGGCAGCAAAGCTGTCAAATGTACAGACAAAAAGCAGAAATTAATAATGTACAAAATATTAGGCCACTATCATTTCTAATGCAATAATACAACGGGTAATGCCAATGTAAGTAAAATTTGTAACAAGCATAAGGGTTCAGGACCATAAGAGTTCAAATTCACATTTTGAAAATGTCAGAATGAGAAAAATGAAAATTTCACAAAAAAAATGCATTAATTCAATAGAAAATATAATCTAATAGATTTTCTAATTTGAGTTGTATGTTTATCCTAAAAATCATTCTTGCAATTAGTAAAAAGAATAAGTAACAAAGTTCTTTTCATAACGTTTGTGCTAGCAGAGCACAAGGTTTTTTAAAATAAAATTTGATGCAATATTACATTATTTTTCATTATCTACTGTAAATTACTTGAACATTTGGAGAATTTGATAACCATTTGCCTTCATGCCCGTGGGATATAGTCCTATGCTGAAAATGCCAATATGTGAAAAATAAAAATTTCACAAAAATGAATAACTTCCAGAAAAACTGCTTTCAATTGCTAACTCGGGGTGCATTTTAGCCCTGTTTCTTTCCTTTAAGAAGATTAATTGACATGGTCACTATGAAGGCAGTGCCAAAAACAGGGTTTTCTTCAATTTTGATGCCATATTACATAATGCTTAACAGCATAATGGCCATCAATTTTTGATTATAAAATAATAATAAAAAATAATAAAAGTATCATGGATATTCAAAAAATGTGACTAACAAAGGTCCTCAAGCTCATGAAAGTTCAGAGTCACACCTTGAAAATGCCAAATGTAAATTCAAGTGAATGATTGAAGCTGGCAAACTTCAATGATATGAGCTTATTTCCATTTTTGACACTTTGTTACACAATACACGATGACAAGTTTACCATCATTTTATATAATCAACTAACAATAAAGCAATAAAGAAAATATGACTTTTTTAAAAAATTGCCCAATCATGCTGATTTTTTAACTTGACGAGGTGTATTTTAGTATGAATGATCACTCCTGTAGGTTGTAATACAACAGGCCTTTCCGTTTTTCTTACAATGTGTTATCAGTGTTTCATATATGTTGACAAAAGTGAAAAAAAATGCTGAACTTTTAAACAAATGGCCCAATCATGCTGATTTTCAATCCTGACTTGCGTTTGATGAATATTCATCAGTTCTGTAAGTTTCAAGCCAAAAGGTATTTAAAACAGTTTACCACTTCTCGTGTTATCGGTGTTTCATAGATGCTAAAAAAAGCGAAAAAAAAGAAAAAAAAACAGCATAACTTAGGATAAAAATTACCTGATCATACTGATTTTCAGACTTGACCTGCATATTATAATTCATCAGTTCTGTAAGTTTCAAACCAAAAGTGTGCGGTTAAACATGTTATCGGTGGTGAAAGTGCATGGTGATGACAGCGACAAATTACAGACACAGGTGACGGCTACATCTGTGTCTGTACATTTAAATGCATCAAACAATGTATAGCTGAATCATATAGTTTTACTTTTTTTATTATTTTTGGTGGCCCTCGAGCGTATTGCACTTTAAGACCAAATTGAGCCCACTAGTATCGGTTAACAGCATTAACCAATCAATTTTTCAAAATAATACTATTTAAAATGTGATTATTCCCATCAAATGCAATCGGTTTCATGATTTTTCATATTAGTGTGGCCTAAGATTCTACAAAGAATGATTTTCCCTTTGTTAATATACTTAATGATTTGGGAGTGTGTATTGATCAAACAGTAAGGATCAAAAACAGAGGAAAAACAAGCACAAACTGGCATTTTAATCAATATCAGGCAATACAATAAAATATCTAAATAATGGGCACTAAAAATGAACGGCACAAAAAGATGTTACCCACAAATTAATGAGTCTTCCGACATCTATAAGCAATCTGTTAGTCATTAATAAAATACACATTGTTAGTTTTTTTTTGTGATATTTATGATTTTATTATGTGAGTAAATACACTAGGGTCCATGTAACTTGACAGCATCGTCTTATCAATTAAGACCCTTATTGTTCAGTTGTAATGTTTTTAGTCACATATAAGGAAATAAGTTGTATATAAGCTGTAGAATCTAAAAATATTTTGCCCTCGCAATCACTGTAATTGGGGAGGGGGGGGGCAGACTATCAGCAAATATCCGACTTTTTGGATGGTGCTAGAGATTAGAATAGTAATGAGATTTTTCCAATTGCTGGTGGATTTTGGACTTTTTGGGAGCCACAGGATTACATCCCTGCAATTACTGTAACTTGCGTACATTTTAGGCATGTAATTGAATTTACTTAAATTCCAAATGATTTTACAAGTAGGATCATTTCAGTTTTCTCTGAAAAAAATCTGCATAGGTCTTGGGGTCAATGTCAAAAATTCTTTGGGAAGCATAAATTTATATTAATTTTACTTGTAATTTTTTAAAATATATTTTTGAGGCTATTTAAAGCTTTTTATTTCTATGGGGGTCAAACATGTTCCACTGCCAAGTAAGTTTATTGATACGGTATGCTCATTTGATTTTCTTTGTGGTGTATTTAACTCTTAGAATGACAAATATTAATATGTACCACTTTCAAGAAAGCACTTAAAATGTCTACTTACTACTTTCTGGTTTCTTTATTTATTACTTTGATGTATGAAAGATGAATATATACAACTTCTTAAAAATGGATTAAAATTTACATTATTTTCTCATTTTTTAACCTCTGTGGATGAATAACACTGATTTCAAGTAATATCATTCAAGTGTACTCACGTGATATTCGCTTGGTGATTTTGTAATGGCGTTTTAGGTGTTCTCTACTTGATCTGCTGTGTTGGCATAATCATATCATTGCTTTTTAAGCAAAATTAGTCCTGTTGCCAAGAACTATGGGACTATTTTATTGGAAAACTTACACAATGCCAATTGTTAAAAATGATTTTGTATCGACAAAGTTTATTGATCAGTGCTGTTGTAAAAAGGTTTCTGATTATGTACAGTATATTTTATATACTGTATTTATAATGAATAAGTTATTGTTATTGAACATGGTTGGAAGTGGCGGAATTAGAGGGGGGTCAAGGGAGTCCTGAATCCCACCTTCAGTTTCTGGAAAAAAATGCTTCTGTTCCTTTCTAATAAAAGACACAAGACACATGACACAGGTAGTTATGAAAGAGGATTCCCCATCCATTTCTCCCAAACCCTGCCCACTCAACACTCATTATCTCTAATTTCCTCGTTTCATGGTCATATTAAAATAAAAAGGGGGTGAATACAGTGTAAGAATTTCTAACAAAATATGCTATAACATAATACAATGAACAAATTTGAATTTTTATGTTTGAGGCCTTCAAACCTATTAAGTACATAACTGCCATGGCTGTACAGACTCCATTTTGGCACTTGTTATGAACAATATTACACCACTTTAGTTGGGGTCCACCATTTCTACATGCAGTTATATAATTAATTAATTATTTATTAATTTATTTATTTATTTATTTATTAGATAATGTGCCTTCCATGGCCCATTTATTGCAAGGTACACTTGTCGTATGAGTTAGACAACATCTGGATTTCTGGTCCCCATACCTCTTGAAATTAGAATTTTTATTAGCTGTTTATAGTTCTAATCCATACCAAACCACACCATTTGCCTTTTAAGTACCTTTTAAGGCCCCGAATCCCATGCAAAGTGGGGGGAGGGGTGGCTTCGCATTGGCTGACCCCCCTTCAAATAATCCTGGATTTGCCCCTGAAACCCTAATAATATTTAAGCCGTCTTGAAATGTAATATTATTTTTTGATTGAAATAATAGTTCTTAAACTGCTTTTATATTCATTAAATAATATCTGTATTTTATCTTTTTTAAAACTTGATTTACTTATTCATTAAAAGTTTAACTGTTCTGATTTTTTATTTTTAAGATTTAATATTTATCATCATTTATTTATTTATCTATTTAATATTTTCCATCATGTTCTGATTTCCACACGTTCTGCTGGTGCTTTTAATAGGGCAAAAGGTTTGTGCTATCATAATTTCTATATTGCATATACTGACCAACTTAGTTCTGAAATCCTCCAAAGTTCCTATTTCTGATATTTGATGCATGCATCTGGACTAACTTTACTATATTGAACTTTAAAGGGCAATTCCATAGGATTAAACTACCAAAATGGATTTTCCTGGGGAAATAAGCAATTTCCTCGCTGTCAAGAATCATTCATTTACCCCTTATTTTTGTTTTCTATAGTCATTATAACCAGCGACCATCTTACTAAGCATCGATTGCATATCAACACTATGTACGCTCAAATAAATAAATAAATAAATAAATAAATAAATAAATAAATAAATAAATAAATAAATAATAAATAAATAAATAAATAAATAAAATAAAATAACTAAATAAATAAAAATGAAAGAAATTAATAATAAAAAAAGGTAAATCATATAAACGGTGTCTGTAAGGTTTAATAAGAGGCTGCGTAGATAGCAAAAATAAGCATTTGGGGGATTTTCAATGCATGGAGTGTCCTTTTATCTCAAACAAAACATTGTTTTGCTTGTAATGTTGAGTTTTATAGCAGTCTTTTATAAAAAAAATACATACAAGAAAAACAAAAGTTATTGCTGCAAGTTTGATGGATGCAAATTTGATGAAGTAATAAACGACTTAAGATAACGTATATTTGTCTTGTTTGCACTTGGAGGGAATTCCCTCGCTGAAAACGAGGCAGGGATTCCCTGACCTACATTTGAACTCAACAAACTCAGCATGCAGAAACGTTGTTATCCCTATTTTACCATAGGCTCACGGATAAAAATACGTGAGAATGCGGTATATGTTTGATATACGATCAGCATAAGATCGGCGTGGCGGCGTAAACATGGCTAGAAATACGTGTTTTCTTTAACATGCGGTCAAGGTCAACCAGTCAAATAAGTTCAATTCAAGGACGGCACGTCTTCCTGGCTGGTCGAGTATTCTTAACTTTCAGCACGTTTTGCACATACTACAAGTTCAAATCGACTTGTTCGTGGTCCATTCGTCTTTGTTCAGGATGGCGGGTGTAAGCTGCGCCCTTCGAGCTGCGAGCCAACATTTATTTAAATATGGAATCAAAGGCGAACTTCAAAAAGTTGTTTCCAGTACGTGGGGTCCAAAACATCTTGGCAAGTGGTTTTCTTTTAACTGCAGCATTAATTTTCGTTTTGAACTTTCTGGTTTTGCATTAGTCTTAATTCTGCTTACTCTGCTATTTAGATGTGATTCTATGTTGAGTACATAGTTATTTTTTTATATAAATGTCCAGATGATCGTTGCCCATGGCACATACTGTACATACTGGGTATATGTACTGTACTGTACACAGTGTAGCACGTAAATAAGGCACACTGGTACATGCATTTACATATACTGGGTTATTTATGATGTGTTTGATATTCACTAGCACGTATAGTGCATATAAAAAACGTAAATAGGAGTGCTAACACATTTATTTCCATGCTACCAGTACAGTACAGTATATGTGCAGTATACCAGTCAAATTAAGCGGTCTTAACTTCCAATATATTCATTATATATATTTAGCTTTCTTCAAAGTATATGTTTCTGTACAAGAAAGTCCAGTGTAATTCCAGCACCAGACCTGTAATCGTCTGAACTGTATTTTGGACCCATGTTTCATATCCTAGACTATAAGAGAAATTAGTAAGATGTTTTGTTGAGGCGGATTATTCAGACTTCTGATTTATGTACTGGTACATGTATTTGCAGCCAGAAATGTTTGGAGTTCTCCCAAAAAGTGGGGCCTCATTATGTTAAGCTTTGTAGTGGTGGTGGATGTAAAAAGGAAAGGGGGGAGTCAGTACATTTTTATCCATCTTTAGATCTCCCCATAGTTTTTTTCAAATTTATTTTCATTGCTATTTGTTTGTGTTTATTTATATATTTATTTATTTATTTATTTTCTCTCTTTAGAGTTGTTCACAGGCATTGTCAATACATGTACTGTAGACTAAAAGCGCACATGTACTGTATAATGACTGAATGAAATGAATCAGTCTCGATCATGGTGGGAGTAATATATATGTGCTTTTTGATTGCTTTAAATGTGTTTTCTGCATTATTTAAGGAGCATGTTGGTACTCCACATTTGTCCCTGAAAAGTTCTACAAGATGCACACCCTGGAATCATGGAGCCATGATGTGCATCCTTTTGGTAGACTGATCATCAATGTGCCTTTTAATGTAAAGGTATGAACTACAGGGCGCATTGAGCCGATTGATCTCTGTACAGTACCAATATAGGTAGATTCTGCTCAGACATGCCCCCAAGCTTTCTGGTCACAGACAAGCACTCAGTGTTTAAATAGAATTCTTGAGAGGAGGGGAAGTTTTTTTTAAACTTTTTTAGAATTAAATTGTCTTAATTAATTGTTGATGCATTGTATTTATACAAATGGTGTTGATTTTTTTGTCATTTACTTCAGTGGGGGTTGAGGTGTGATCTGTTTAGAGAAGAGTATTGCTAACAGTGTATAATTTTTTTAATAAATACTAAGCATCACCTAGTTTGGGACATTTATATTTTAAAGTACTGAAATCTACCAACTTGACCCTGTACATTCATTTGCAAATCCATAAAGTACGTAAAAACATAAATGGATTTATTTGTCTTAGTAAGTTAAGATTATATTTATTTACTCTCCTGATGAAGACATTTCTTATTTATCGAAAACAAAGTATTCCATAGAATTTATACAATTTTTTCACTAGGTTGTTCGTGTCAATGCAGAAGAGTTTCCATTTCAAGACAAGGCATTCCTGGCCCTGTACGCAGACACAGAGAAGGGGCATGCCATGATTGATGTCATCCAATGGAATCAGTTCTTCAAATGTCACGTGGAAGTTCGAGATCATGAAAAGGAACTTCTTTTCAATGGCATGATAACGGAGGACGGTCACAAGGCATTTCAACACAAGAATATCCCACTAGAGTGTCTCATACAGGTTCCTGTAAAATTTGGTTAGTTTAAAAATGTTATTTATTTGTTGTAATTATGAAAATTTTAATTTTAAAAATGTTTTCATTTACCTGCACTTATATATACCATCAGGGAGCAGTGTTTGACTGAGTTCCCAACCCTAGATCGATCTTACAGGATCAGTCCATCTCCATGGGGTCCCTCGCTAAATTGCTTTCAGCTCAAGCGGCTTAGAAGTCTGGGACGTTGTCTAAAGCTGCTAAATGATAGTTAATTACCCCTGTCAGCCTCAGCAGGCGTGACAGACATCCAAGCCACCCAAGTTAATTGCAATTAAGCTAAAATCCCCTCGGAGATAGTTTGATCAAAAGTTAGTACGATAGGGTCTGGGAATGGTCTCTTTGAGTTACTGGCACCACATGTACTCCAAGGCTTCTAAGATAGCCTTCCAGCAATGTTTGAGTGAATATATATGTACCATGTGAGGTAATTGGGGTAATTGTAAACTTTTATGTACTCATACATGTGTAACCAGCTAGCATTAATATTGCTGCTGTGCTAGAATAAAACACATGCTTGGTTAACATAAGTCACTGTGAATACTCTTAAACTCCAGATGCATTTTTATTTGAGATGGTTTTACATAAATCACTGTTTATATATTTCACTAGACTTTGTGGCTATGATTTCGTAGCATAAAAAGCCTACAGATTATCCCATGGTTTGCCTCAATGTACCAGTTTAACTTATGTTTATTAAGCACTCAAGCTGATGATGGTAAGAGAATTTTCATTTATAATCAGGCAGTCATACCAACTGACTTAAGATGTACTGCTTTCAAATTAGAGTTGAATTATGAAAAGTGCAATAATTTGTTGCCATTTTAGGTGTGAGTCTCCACGTTCAGGAGGAAGGAAATGCAGATGTAGAAGACATGGAATGTCACCAGGTCCACATAAACACACAGAATGGAGACACCTTACTCAAAAATTTAAAAGTGAGAATAAAGCTGTATGTATGTAATGTGGCATCTTATATTTAAGTGTAAAATTCAAAAATTTTTAAAAGTTTGAAAGTTGTTTAGGATTGTTTCCATTGTCTTTATTTCATGGACTAAATGTTAAAATGATGATAAATATAAACAAATTTACTTTTCTTCACCATATTATTATTTTAAGTTCATGTTCAAAAAAGCTATGACTGTGTCTGACACAGTAAACTATGTGTGAACTTTTGAATAATATTTTTTCAATTTCTTCCAGTGTGGAACAGTTCATGCACATAGCTGGACAGGGAACATCAAATGTGTGTCTTCACTTCAGGGCAACATAGAGCTCAAGACAGGGAATGGGGGGGTAAGAGCACTATTCTCCATATTCATGTGTGTTTTTGATTTGCCTTCCGTCTTTCATGAAAAATGTTAAAATTGTACACAAATGGAGAGTGCTGACACTGGTTTTGGCTACTTCATTCAATTGATAAGCATGTTATTATATTATAGCTGTATAATTAAGATCTTGCATATCGATTTTTCATGGCATTTCCAGTATGAAACTTTCTCTTGTAATTCATCTTTATTTTAGCAAAGCATTGCAAATTAGGAGACATTTTACCATTGTTCCTCTTTGTTACTGAAAAATTTCCTTTTTTTCTAAAAATTATCTTAGGCCATCAAAGCAGACAAACTTCAGGGTCAACATGTTCAGTGTAAAACACAGGATGGCACCATCCAGGTCAAATCAGTCTATGCAGACGATGCCAACTTCTGGTCACAAAGTGGCGCCATCTATCTTGGCAGTGTACATGGAAGCACTGTAGTAGACATACACAATAAGGGAGATGTCAAAATCGGTAAGTATTTTTTCCAGTGCCGTGTGTGTGTTACGGCATACAAACAACATGCCTTGCACCTTGATTTGTTTACATTTTCGCTAATAACCTGATAAAAAAAAGTATGCAGTCATTCCCATGTTAACAAAGCTTAATCACAAGTTTTCATTTTGTTTTAATTTTTGTAAAAAAAAAATGAATGAACATTGTTAAAAGTTTTAAAGTTTTAGTATTACCAGACATATCAATATACACACAGTCAGGGCAACCTATCCCTGTTCCAGATTCACTGGATGGCAGCCTGAATGCCCTTATGAAAGAAGGTAATCTTGCTGCCCACATCACCAGACATGAAGAGGTAACAGTAAGGACAGGCAAAGGTAACTGTCTTGTCATTTGGTGGGAAAGTCATTTAAAGTTCCAGTCAAAAATCACATTCTTGTAACAAAGAAGTTTCTGTTTTGTGATCAAAAAAGGTTCAATGTACATGTAGTTAATACACAGGTTAGTGCCTAGTTGTGTACCACTGTTTGGACATGCCCTGAGTGTTTCACACCTTGCTGTCCTGCCTTTGTGGTCAGTGTGCAAATCAAGAATGGGACTATTTAGCCACATGGAAACACATAAACACCAGTAGAAAATTGTTCCTTGATTTGAGGCACTACCAGTATTCGGACACGAGGGAGGAGGCAACTTTGGCTTTTGGGAATAACATACCCTAGCTACAGATCTAGAGCTGAGAAAACAAAAAATGGCTGGACTTCAGGGAGATATATAACTCTGGGCTCTAATCCTGCAATGTTCCGCAACCCCATTCCGTCACCCATTCACAAGATTGTGATATTGAACATACCCGGTACAACCAAAATTATATTATTCCAGCCAAATTTATAAGAAGTGAGATTATGTATATGTGATACCATTTTCTGTATTACAGGTGACATCTCTTTAGACCTTCCTGTCAGTGCTAACACCACTCTCGAGTTGTTGGGGAGTCAAGTGGAGGTGGACAAGGCACTCTCTGTGGAGAACGTGGAGGAAAAAAAGGAAGGGAATCTGACAAAATTTACCGGTAGGCATAGAAGTCACTGTTGTTATATTATTCAAAATTGTTTTTAGAATTATTCTTCATTTGGCCCACTGATCTTTTTTTGTTTCCAGTATTTCTTAGCATTTGTCAAAACCTCACTACTTGAGTTGGTGATATTACAATACTAAGGAATGAAATAGCATAATTGGTAAATAATGTTTTGTAGTTACTTATTTTAACAATATATGACGCCCCACATTTTTTATGGGGTGAACACTTTATACATATGTAAAACTATAAAACAGACATTAACTTATTTGAAATTGGGAATACAATACATCTGTTTCTCAAATGAAGAAATTTTTATTTTGTAGGCAAGATGAACTCCAGTGGAAAAGGCAGTGTCAAGTCAGAAGCACGCGATGGGAAAATTGTTGTCACTGCTAAAGATTGGTTTGAATCCCTCAATCTGAGTAAAAAGTGAACACATAAAATTATCCTCTCGCTCAATGTAGGATCACATTGAAAATAGCGTGGAATTTATTCTGATGGGAACTCTTTTGAGATTAGAACTATTATTGCCAGAAATAATGTTTTCAGTTGAAAGGGATGAATTCAGATAGGGTTTAGGAATTACTTGTAGTTTGAATCTTCCCTGAATAAGGTTTTAAGTGTAAAATATTATTTATTTATTTATTTTTCTACTTTCCTATAAAAACAAATCCCAATTTATTAAAACCAGATTATGGAGATTTTGCAGCAATGGACATGGGGTGTCAAACAGAGCCGTTTATCTAGAAGCCCCAGAATCGGCCCCTGCTAGATTTTTCTGTCTGATTGAATCTTTTTGCTGCTGGAACATCTTGATATTTGTACCAAAATCAAATCTAAAAAGGCAGAAGTCACAGCATGCAGATGTATATAGACCATTCTATCAGAACCTGGCAGGTTTTTTTATGAGTGTACTCTGGGTATTTAAATATCTTGAATAACATGAGCCAAAACATGTAGACCATTTTATCAGGTCCTGGTGGGTAACAAGTGTGCACTTAATATCTAATTGTTTTGTTTTTCAACTCTGTATCCCAGAAAAAAAATGTGTTTGATAGACAACAGTTATCTCAGGTTTTATCTGTCTAATTACTTCAGATACACTCCAAAACAGAGTATCGGGATAGGATGTATAGATGTATGAGACAATACTAGTATATATGCTGGCAGAAAATATCTGAAAGATGACCTGGTTGGTGTGCCTGAAATGAGAAATGCACTGCAATACAATGAAACACGGTACAATACGCTAGAAAAAAAGGAGTCCAGTCACAAGTTAACACAGGAAACATTCTTTCCCAACTAAATAGGGCGATATAAAAAAATTAATTGGTAGGTAATTGATATTTTTGATAAAACCTAACATATTGGCATGACTTGATTATCATTGGGCCGAATGCCATGTTAGCAAGTGGCTATTTTTGGCAATATGGCAGATGACCTGATGATAAATAATGCCAAATGGCGCATATTTTTGTGTGCAGTATTGTAGTGTATTGCGCATTTTTGGCACACCCCCTAATCATTGATATTTTGAGATAATTTTTAAATGGTAAAGCTGTCCAAGAATTTTGTTGGTTTTATTGGCAAGAAAATATATATTGGACTTGGTAAATGATTATGATTAATTATTTCTATTATTTATTCTTGTGTGAGTGTGACTGTTTCAATCCAGAAATTATACCTTTTTTAATTGGCATATCATGATATTTTGAGTGAGTATTGGAGATGGGTTTGCCTACTGTGCTATAATTGTGTGGTAACAGGTGGACCATAATATTATACATTATTTTGTCATTAATGTGCAAGAAAGCTGGTTCTAAGTAGGGGTGTATATATATAAACGACTTCTTTTGTGTGAAGTCTGGTTTTTAATTTAACATTATTTACTTTAAAAATTATATATTAATATTATAATATGACTTGTAGCTCAAACTACCTGCTGCTTATGAATAACCAGAAATTATACCTTTTCCCACTTATGATTAACATGAAGTTTGGAGTATAAATTTGAAATGAGTTTGCCTACTGTGACATATCTGTGTGGACCAAAATATAAAATATAATTTTGTCATTAGTGTCAACCTTATGTTCCATAGTATGTAGGTGTTTACTTAAACTGGGGAATACTGCAAGTGCTTCTAAGTTACAGCTGATCATGCAAGCTAGATCTACATAGAGGATATATACCGGTATAAGTAAACAAGGTCTTTTGCGTGAAGTCTGGTGTCGACATTATGTACTTCAAAAATATTTATTGTTGTTAAAGTATGACTTGTGGTTCAAAATACCTGCTTCTTATGAATTACCAGGTGGCTTGATACTGTGGCTTATTAAGGCTCATATAAATCAGATATATTACAATTTTAAACCAATGGGAAAGGGAGAAGGCAGATAAGTTACCTATGAAAATGTATATACTCCAGTACATATTGAAAAATAAATACGTAATAAAGATGGTCCATTACTTAGTCAGAGATTGAAAAGTGCTTAGCCACAGATTGAAATAAAACTTCATGGATTACCCTTCTAGTGCCTTAAATACAGAAGGTAAACACAGGGAAATGCTACTGCATGGTACTAATGTACTTGTTCACTTTAAGATAAATATATGAGAACAAAGTTTCAATACTGACATCCTAATGAACATTGATGTTAATCTGGAACTAGACATAATATGATTTTTTTTCTTTGAAAAGTATGCTACAGAATCAAAGTTCTATAGATGACTGTCAATTATGAGCATCAATTTTGATTTTCATGCCTCTTTAAATGATTTCTTTCTGTGTTATACTTTTGGCAATTCCTTTTATTTTTTTCAATTACATTAAAAACTTTTTCCCTTTGGCAGCTGAGTACTTGTTAAAATGTGTTATTACTACACAAGTTAGGCCACACTTTTTTATTTTTATGGATGACATCCTGCGCGCGCACCGATTTTCGTCCGTTCTCCAAAAAAATAAATAAATAAATAAAATCCCCCCCCCCAAGGAAGTCGGCTGTCGCAAACGTCGTAATTGAATTTGCCGGAAAATGCAATCGGTAATCCTCGGCTAATTCCGCAAGCTCCATACTGTCATTGTCGACTGCGGAAACATCCGAGTAGTTCCGAGTGCGGAAAATGAGCTTTCTGCGCATGCGTATTATCACCACGCATCTCTAGCATTTCAAAATACAAGACAATTAAAGTCATAAAGAGAACGGGGGCCGTCGTTTTGGATTGGTTTGCCATTGATATTGGACATGGAGATATCACCTTTTTACAATTATACGAAAGGCTGGCTGCAGCCAGCGATCATCGCCCGGAAAATTTCAGTGACATTCTGTCCAAAGCAGCACATACCAGGTTTTTTTTTGTAGCGAAAAAAGGGTCGACAAGAGCGTCGTGGTATTTGGTGGACTGAAGGTCGGTCAGGCCACCCGATAGTTGGCTGCTACGTGTGAGTTGAAGTAGACAAAATGGCATCGACCGAAATTATCTTTTTTAGATTTGGTAGTAGAAAGCATAGGCCTATCTTTGCTTAATTTTTTAACAATTCTGTGTTCACAATGCTGTAATTTTCTGAGAGTACAAATAAAGACACGCTGTTTATTTGATATTTATTTTATTGATTGCTATACCAACAAAATGCATGAAATAACCTTAAATAGATTTGGTAATGACTTATTACCTTTCTACGAAGTAGGCCCTATTCACATTGCTTTAATATTTTGAGAGCATGGATAAAGACATGTTGTTAGTTTGATACATGTTTCTGTGGTAAATTAATGTTTCCAGCTGTGTACTGAAAACATAACTTTTCTTAAGCAGTTTATTATTTTTTTTTTTGGACTGTTTTTTTTTTTTTTCGCCCGCTCGCACCGGTTTTGGGGTCCCCAGAGGATGTCATCCATAAAAATAAAAAAGTGTGGCCTTATGGGTTAAACTAGTTANGGCCTTTTTTTTTTTTTTTTCGCCCGCTCGCACCGATTTTGGGGTCCCCAGAGGATGTCATCCATAAAAATAAAAAAGTGTGGCCTTATGGGTTAAACTAGTTAGATCCTGGGTGGAGGACACGGGCTGTGTTCCTCTCTCTTTTTTGACAAATATGGCAGATTAGATTTCATCCTTTCAAAAAAAGGTTGGAAAATGGTAAAAATGTACACATACATGTACATGCACAATGCATACAGAACAATTGCACATTGAGGCCAACCAGTTCTTTTCATTTCATGCACTTCAAAAAAAAAATGCACTGATTTAAAGTTGATTTGGTATAGTGGGGTATGGGGATGCCCCATGAGATTTTACACATTTTTCCCCTACCTCCCACCCCCATCATCCACTTCTGCCTATTCCTATTTGTCTTAATTTATTATAGTATGGTCTTGGGTGAAATAGGGCATTTTTGTTTAGAAATGCATATATATACATGTTGCATTGACTTTTTAAAAAATAATAAAAATTTATAAATATTGTGAGTCATTCTGCGTTTGCTGTATGTTTCTACTATAATGAGGTTACGTCTAACTGAAATGTCCGAAAAAAGTGTAATGAGAAAGAAAAAGGTTAGCATTGACCCCGACGTGATTTGAACACGCAACCTTCTGATCTGGAGTCAGACGCGCTACCGTTGCGCCACGGAGTCGTACTTGACATCTAGCACGAGAAATAAAGACTATAAAGTAGATTAATTCCTTTCCTTTTTGCAAATATTTATAATAATGATTGGAATCATTATGCAAATTTTGTATTTATAATTAAATCTAAATCACTGTTTCTCATCATAGAAGTCATAAGTTGTCCACTAACGCAATTTTAATATCAGTAACTTCAACTTCCGGTTGTCCTTGACCTCTGAATGTTGGTAAACTCACTTCATACGCTGTGATAAACAGGTTCCCGACGATAACGTAACTATGTCACATTGTTCCCCTTAAATTGAGACAGGCAGGTAGGCTGAGGTCAAGATGGGGAACACACTGGGTAAAAGTGCGGCTATCGACTTCGGAATTCAATGGTCTTGCTGGATTGTCGCCTCCCTGTTGAAGACGGAAAAGTTTTATGATCTTGCAGGTATCTGTCATCCACAACTGGACCTCACAAATCAATTTGTGTATCAGTGTACTAATTTTCAGCCCCTGGACACTTGAAGACGAATTACTAGTACACTTCATACACACTGTACTAGATAGTAGCTGTACAAGGCATGTACTTGTTCATGTCCATGTAAAAAGGTGTAGAAAAATACTCACAACTTGTCTCTGTATTTACATGTATTCCTTTAATACTACACAAAACTGTCAAAACATTTGATGAATGAATTTTTCATTTATTCATACCTGTATAATTTATATAGCCATCTACTGTATCGGGATATGTATGTGTACACATCAATTTAAAGATGCACTTGAAGTTAAACTAATGCCACAAAACTCAACAAAATGCCACTATGCAGTTTAACATAGTGTAACTTAGACCCCATTCCCATACCTATTCTGATCTAGCAGGATTGACCCATCTCCAAGGGGGATTTTCGCCAAATTGCATTCAACTTAAGCGGCTTAGATGTCTCTCATGCCTACTGAAGCTGCCAAACGATAGTTCATTACCTCCTAACAGCTTCAGCTAACGTGCCAGACATCAGAGCCTCTTAAGCTGAGAGCATTTTAGCAGGAAACCATTTGGAGATGGGTTGATCCCTTTGATTGATCTAGGGAACAGGGTTTTAGAGAATTACCATGAAAATGAAATTTGAACAGTATTTTCTGGTTTATTTGCAAGACCAGGAATCCATGCTCACTTTAAATGTTACTTTTACAAAAGAAACACATGCTTGTCTGTGAATTAATTATGCATACTTGCCTCTGAACAAATTGCTGAAATGCTGTAAGAATTTCTTTATATATATCCTTTTTTTTCAGCTTAAGTAAAATTCTTTGTTTTTTCTGTGCCAAATAGTTACCATCCATTTATTTGTACTATTTATTTTTAGTTTGAATCATTGACATATTTCATTCAGCTTAATTATCATTTACAAGAGACATAGGGGCCATTCAGATCGAGAAGAGCCGAGTGCTAGTAAGGCCGCAACCTAAATATGTCGGACCTACATGAAAGGAATACCACTAATCCTGTAATGGTCTCTCTGCCTCTCACACGCCTCCCCACGTGTCATCCCTACAGGGGCAGAATAATTATACCTAGGCCTAATTCAACTGGTCAAGATTCGACGTGTGGGAAGGTGTGTGAGAGGTGGAGAGACCATTACAGGATTACCCATTACCCATTTTCTGTGCAAGGTTTTTGTTGCAATCCCCTTTTTCCTGTCTTCTCAGGTTCTGGCACTGCTGTATTACTTACTGCTCTTTCATTGCATTGGAATCAAGAAAAGATTTTGCGTCAGAAAATTCAGAGTGGAATGGTGATAGCATGGGGTCTCAGGTACTGGTAATTGTGCTTTTTTGGTACAGATTTAATGTTTGTTGTGTGCTTCTAAGGTATTAAAGTCATAAAAACTCTTCGTTTTGGCCAAAAATTGGATTTTCCTGGAGTAAACGGCAATTTTCCCGTACTTACCAATGGTCGGCGACCCCATTCCTGCATTCAAAGTTAGTCCAGGGTTTTTTTCCTAAACGCTTGGTTTTTTGTTAAAATCTCTTAAGAGATTTTAACTGACGGAGCCCTCTCTGACATTGCATAAGTCATGCGATATCGAGCGGGGTTTTCTGATGACCTACTTAAAACCGCGGGAAAAGCAGACAACAACAACACTTTATTACAATAAAATAAGATTCATACGATATAATCGTCTTATTGCTCAGCATGCATTTATATCTACAACGTGTGCAGTTCTGGGCTTGTCGTTCTCCGACACACTACAAAAACTCGCAACTTACGTCTGAGGATTGTGTCATGCGCCTGCTATATCTTATCCCGCCACATGTTATTTTGGTCTCGAATGCACGCGAGAGTCCGCGTGATGCGCCAACATCCTTGGCAACGGATGCCTTGACGACCGGGAAGAAAGGCACCGAAAGCCCTATTGACAAGCCCTGTTGACAAGCACAGTTTTTAGTTTTACTACAATAACACAATAACAGTTTTAGTGGTGAAATGCAATATAATATATTTCCATGTGTTGTTTAGAATGTATTTCTTGCGGAATTTTGAATCTCTTTAATATTACATACCTGCACTACATGTATTTAGTATTATTGCCACGTGGTTATTGGGCCCATTCAGAACAACTTGATCCATGGAGTAATAGATCTGCTGGTTTATGGCCAACTCACTTGAAAGCTTGCCACATACTTCCCTTAAAGGTGCTGAATAATTTCCCTGCTGGGATTATGTGGTAAGCTTTCTAGTGGGTCGGCCATGTTTGACCGGCGGATCTGTTACTCTGCAGATCAACTTTTGCTGTGAATGCAGCAATTGTTTACTCTCTACCAGAAGTCAACTGTGTGATGACATCAATTCTGGGCAAAAAATCCTACTGGTCTCTTCTGTACAGAAACATACACAGCATTAGAAATATCTGGTGAAAAAAATAAATCTCCTGTTTTTGTAAAGAATGTTGTTATTCTTAATATTCTGTAGTGAAAGAGGTAGTTGTACATGTCTTTTGGCACCATAATACTGGTATGTAGAAGGGGAGAGACTTTTTGAAGGTATTTCACTCTCTTATTTTAGCCTGAGTGTGCTTAATTTGCATGAAAATTAATTGTCTTACCCCTACATCTTTAATTTACTTTTCATTGGCTAATAATTGTCTTCTTATCTCAGTATTTAGTGGTTGTTTACTGTGAATTTTGTTTCATTTCAGATTAGGCCTATTCTTATTTACCAGAGTTCTTAAAGCTGGTAAGGATCGCAGATTTAACAATGTACGAGACCATCCTCTTCGGTTCTTTGTCTACTGGACAATACAAGGTATTATTACAAGTGATTTAATTTTTTTTAGAAATTGTCTATACATTTTTTCTATACATGCAATTAATACAAATTGTTGTTTTAGTCTATACATGCAATTGATACATGTAATTCAACCCAAACATATAAGTCAACATCAGTACATTTCAAAGCAAACTTAAGGGCAGATGTTTAAAAAAATCCACCTTCTTTTGTCATAAATGATTGATAACAAATGGGCAAAATAATTAGATATTCTTTTAATTTGTTAATACAATTTTATTTTTAAATTTTGGCAAAGATATAAAGGTAAAGTTTGGTGCCAAGTGCATTTGTATACTGAATACTGTATACTGGCCTTACTCAGTTATTTCAAGAGGGGTATTTTTCTTCTGAAAAAAATTGGACCTTTTTGAGGCCTAAATTAACCCAACTTGAGAAAGAGCAAAGACCCTAGAACAAATTTTGATTCAGACATCTTTCCATCCAAAAAGATAGTTTAGTGAACACCCCTTGATTATAGGTCTCTGGGATTCTAGGACAATTCCCCCCTGGACAATTCCCCCCCCGGACTATTCCCCCCCGGACAATTCCCCCCCGGACAATTCCCCCCGGACGATTCCCCCCAAGAAATATATATTTATATACAAATATAAAGTAGAAAGTTCAAAACGTTTCATCTATTTTATTAACATTTTTAGTGTGATAATATAACTTCACCATGAAACAAATTATTTTATAACAAATTCCCTTTTCATTGAGTACAAGTACAGGAAGATTTATTAAGTATCTAATGGAAGTATAACCACCTATCCTTCAGGTAAAAGTGGGGTAAACAGATGAACAGGTAAACAGATATTTTATAAATATTTTAGTGTGGTGGGTGTTGGGTGGTGGTCAAGCAATTAAAAGTGATAAATAGTCACAGGGATACCTGGATAAGCGAGAAAATCTGTTTACCCCACCTCTCCCTAGAGATGCACCTTGATTCAAGACTTACTGAATCAAGGGGGAGGGAGAAATAAAGCAATTAAAAGTAACAGTTAATTCATCAATGGGCTACCTGGATGAGTGAGATCATCTGTTTACCCCTCCTTTACCTGGAGATATATATTCTTTGATCAGATTTTTAATAAAATGTTCTGTACTTCTATCTCGAAAATTTCATGTACTTGAACTCCAAGAAAATAAACTGTTTAATAGAATTAATATTATCTATCCTTGATTTGCATCATCACACTAAGAAATATTCAAAAATGGATGAAAAGAACTTTGAACTTTGTATTCTTTACTTTATATTTGTATATAAATATATATATTCTTCGGGGGGGAATCGTCCGGGGGGAATTGTCCTGGGGGGGAATAGTCCGGGGGGGAATTGTCCTGATACCGTCTCTGCATATGTAGAATTTTAACATCTTAGAAGAATTATTTACTTACCTGGACAGATAGTCTTCCTCAGTAAAAATATTTGTGATATTCATACTTCAAATTGTGGGTTAAATATAATGACTCAACAATAAAAGGAAAATATTTTCTAGAATAAAACCAGTTAATTTGGTATTCTTTCAAGGTATATGGCTGATGGCCATCCTTCTACCTACACTGATTCTAAACAGCAAGACAGGGGACCAGCCCTTGACCATCAAAGAGTACACTGGCTGGTCACTTTGGGGCATTGGTTTCCTCTTAGAGGCTTTGGCTGACCACCAAAAGACCAGATTCCATAACAACCCAGAAAATCAGGTACTACTGCTACAATTTCATGGTATGAGCATAGCAGATCTTATTATTATTTTATTGTTCAGTAGACATATAAGGTTGATTCTTTAAATTTTTTTTAGAAATGAAATCTAACACCATTTTAGTGACAAATTATAAAAAACGTAGGTAGATGATTATTCAAATGTTATGCAAATGTACCTAGTATTTTAATGAAGCTTCAGGAATAACAGCATAGTGCAAAGAATCATCCAGACTTAGGGACCATTCAGAATGAGAAGAGGTGAGTGCTAGTAAGGCCACGACCTGCAGAGGCCCAGTAATTAAATCTCAGCTCAATTCAACCAGTCGAGGAACAATGCTTGGAGAGGCGTGTGAGAGGCAGAGAGACCATAACAGAATTAGCGGTCTTCCTTTAATATAGGGCTGCCATAGTTAGGTTGCAGCCTTACTAGCACTCAGCTCTTCTTGATCTGAATGGTCCCTTATATGCTCTGGCATCTGGCCCCGGTTTCACAAAAAAACGTAAGTCATGTTCCCTGGCTAAGAACTAAATTACCAAGATCACATGGACACATCTTACCCTATCAGGAACAGTATAACAGCACTCTCATGGAAATCCTAGTCAACTAAGCCAGGTAACTTAAGATTTTTTATTTTGTTTGTTTGTTTGAAACTGGTTATGGGTACCATTTAATCTTTTTTCTCTGTGCACAGGGCAAGTTTATCACCTCAGGGCTGTGGTCCATCGTCCGCCACCCCAACTACTTGGGTGAGATACTTCTGTGGTCAGGGCTATATGTGTCAGCATCAAGTTATCTCAGTGGCTGGGAACGGGCCAGTGTCATCTCTCCCGTGCTGACCGCTCTCCTACTGACCAAGGTCAGCGGGATTCCTCTGCTGGAAAAATCTGGTATGCGTCGTTGGGGAGAGGATCCGCAGTATCTTAAATACTTGAAGGAAACACCAAAATTAATTCCTTTTCTGTGGTAATTAAAAGATTGCAGGGGCTACCTAAAATAATGCAAAACACTAAAAAAATGCCATGATTTATTCCTTGATTGGAGGCTGTGTTTGTCAAGGTTTAAGTAAAAATCGAAGTTGGCATCCAATGATTGAAGAGTTATCTATTCAACACATTTTCCCCACATTTTCTTTTTTCTAAATGAATAATGAAGAACTAAATGTATGCTGGTTTTGTTTGATATACCTTGGTATGTATGATATTTGATTGTTGTTATATCTTTGCAAAATAAATGAAGTATTGAAAAGTTGGTTGCTACATTTGAATATTTGATGCTGATTTAAATATCCGTAAACTTTCAACACGTAATAAGCCTGCATTTATATCTTGAGGACAGATTTCACATACATTGCTTAAGCAACATACATGTATCGTAGTTGCCATCATTTCATACTAACTGTTTTCAGTGCCTCTTAATGAAATAGTCTTTATTGATGATTAGGTTTCGGTAACTACTGAAATATGTGTCTGTTGTTGTCACAACTTCAGTCCTTAATTTAGGTTCTGTTCAGAATAGAATTAATTGCGCTAGCAGGATCGTTCTATCTCAGTGGGGGTTCAGCCTTTACGTACTTGGGTAAAGTCGGGGAAAACTCTGTGGTCCATGATGTTGTTCATGCTGCTTTGCGAGGGGGCATGCCAGGCAATTCAGCTGTTGACGTTGACCTCGCCTTGGTGAGAATCCCCGCTTATATAGATCGATCCTGCCAGTGCAACAACTTCTATTCTGAGCACAGCCTCAACCAGTGAAAATGAATGTGAACATGTTTGTGATAATAAATATTTTCGATTACATGTACATGTTTTATTGGTCCTTATAAAAATGTCCTGTCATAGTTCTGTTGAAACATGTGTCCAACAGAAAAAAAACAAAAAAGTGCAAGCACATGAGCTTTCTCATATATAGATTCTGTTGTGAAACGTTTTTCTTCATATAATAATAATAATAATAATAATTTACTTTTTTAAAACGCGCAACACATACGTCTCAGTGCTGTTAACATATGACATCTACAGATAATTCATATTTTGCAAAAAAAAAAAGAAAATGAAACCGTTGTAGCTAATATATTATTTCTTTGATATTTCTGCAATCACCCCCACCCCCTTCGTCACCTAGGTTACTAGTACCTCATATCAAATCGTTGAGGAAAGTCCGCTGTAAACTATTTTCACACCCTAACTTAATTTCTGTTCTTTGTTGCAACAAACAAAATTCACAATTTCCACCTCCATTTCCTTAAAAGTAGAAACTTTCAAAATTAAAAAGGCAAACAAGTAGTGGAGACGTATATAGGGTATTGCCTTCTTAAGAATTCTAAATATCTTGAGGATATTTGCATTCAGAGAAACGCCCCAGAGTGGACTGTGTTCCCCAATACCATTTTACCAGTTCTTGAACTGTGTATGTTTTATTCCCAGTCAATGGGTTGTTTAGCATTTCACAAATCTTGCAGTAATCTACCCTCGATGTTGGACGTTCAATCTCAAAATGCCTCTTCCATTGCAAGAACTTCATGTATATGTTAGCATGTTTATCCAGATAATAGAGATACTCAGCCAGGGCTTTAGGGGTGGGAAAGTCACCCGTATTGATATGCATTTCTGGTAAAATACCAAGCAAGGAGTAATTAGCTCCTCCCCTTGTTATAGGAACAATGTTCCAGTCCCGTAGAGTTCTAAAAAGTTTCTCTGTCACGTAGTCCCTGGAAATACTGTTTTCAAAGGCCAGATAGAATTTGTAGTTATCCCCAATATAACGAAAACAGTCTGATGGACAAGGGTCTCCGCATTCCCCGAATATGTCAACTGGAATGTGTTTGTTTAGTTCTTTTACATATTGGTCCCGCTTGCTGTTAGCTTTACAATTACTGACCAGCCATGCAACCAGTTTGGTTTTCTTTTGCACTTCAGTTTGGACATTTCCAAGTGAAATTGGCAATGAACGTTTCACGACTTTTCCATAAGGCGAAAACATATCGGAATCTAACCGGTAAGTCATGGTCCAATTAAACATACTAGCAAATTTTTTAGCGTCTCTGCTCTTAGGCGAGGCCGCAACGCATGGCGATTCCCACGTAAAAAACAACCACCTCTGATTCAGAGTTCGTTGTCGAGTTGGAAGCACATCCCAAAAGGTTTTTGCGATGCCCGAGAACTGAAGCAGTTTAAAAAGTGGGGGTGCATTAAAAACGATGACGTCACTTACATTGGCAAGTCTCCAGTCCTTAGACAATATGCAGTTTTTAAAGCCACAATTTTTCATATTCATAAGTTCACCACGAAGAAAACTGTCGCTTCTGTAGCGATGGTCAAACCATACAAGGATTATTTTTGTTTCATTTCTTGTCTTGAAATCTTCTCCAGGTAAAGTACTATTCTCGCGTTTCCATTTTAAGTATTCCAGTATTGATCTAACATTTTCAGAACGTATAACTAACACTGAAGGCATGGCGGCCTTGCCTGCGCTTTTGAGTTTGAGAATTTTTTTAACTTTCCTGGGTTTCACAGTGAGCACATCCGTTTGATTGTTGGTATTGTTCTTGACAGCAGTCCTTAATTTGACGTCATAACGAATATGTATGTCGTCTTTTTGGCGCTGAAGCAGATTGAAGGCAAGTATAAATATCGTTAATGGAAGGCAAAAGAAGCCAATTGAACGTACTCTTTGTTGCATTTTCCTTCTGCTGCACACAAGACGATTACAGTATATCTCCATATCTGCACAAATATAGATGAATAATGCATTACGTAAACTAAGGCATATAAACCACCAACATCCATTATTTAAACAAATTTGTCCTACAAGCATGGAATAGCAGTGTAGATAGAGATCTAAATACCAAAACACCGGCTTTTTATTTGATCAAGCAACAAACAAATATTAATGATTACACTGTTAGCAAAGTGGAGCATTTGTGTAGAATTTTTGAAAGAGGAAATGTAGCATTTTCGAAAAGGTAAACCCTGAAGGAACAATTGTTCACATAATTGTACGATACGGGTTGTACCACCACACTCTGAATCATTGATAACTTTTAACTTTGAAATTCTTTCAATGTCTTAAACGGAACTGGACTTAAGACATTCAAACTGATCTCCGTCTCTATCAACTATTCGGAAATGGGGAGGCCAAGGAGGAAGGAAAAATACAAAATTGGTAGCTAAAGCATGGTTGTCTTGGGTACATTCAGATGTGTAAAGCGTGCAAACAAGTCTATTAACATAAAGGAGAAAAGTTTTTGCATTTCTCCAGATTTGTATTTTGCTTGGAAATTACATAAAATAACACCTGCCATATGCCTAGATTCTCTTTTGTTTGTGTCATAAACACAGTGCTTAATTGCCATTGGCTGTGTCTCTTTCGCCACTTACTGAACTCCAGAGATGCGAGATTAACACGACCCATGTCGCGTTTGTCTCTCAAAAGACACTGTTATAAAACATGAAATAGGCATTACGTGTGATTTTCGCAGCTGAATAAGTAGACCCTTATAAACGAAGTTGACGTGACCATAGAGTCATGTCGCTTTCAACTTTTACAAACCTCCAACAAAATCTATCTCCACACAGACGCGCGCGACATGTACTATTGGACATGGGTCAGTTGAAAGCGACATTAAGCTAAATGGCTCATGTTACTTTCAGCCAATTAATTTGAAACAGAAGGAC